TATATTCTTAGGAAGATCTTTAGAGATATTTATTTCAAAAATAAACACACGGAAACTCAAAGAGAATTTCCGTGTGTTTATTTTTGAAATCGTTACGCAGTTCAACAACGTAAAGTTTTTGAAGTCAAATCATCAATGAAAGGCAAAGGGTTAAAAGTTCGGTAACAGGTGAAATATTGTGATGGTTCATTTTATAAATAATTTTCATGTACCAGGCAATGATATATTTATTAGCAATTCAGCATATTGTTTAAAAAATAATATTTATTAAACAATATGCAATATATATATATATAAACAATATATATATATAAACAATATATATATATAAACAATATATATATATATAATATTTATTAGCTATATTTAAATCTTAAACAAATTTTGTAATGTGCAATTAATGGGACCTATAGATAATTAATAATGATAAAGAATAAAATAAAACTGATACATTATCTCCCTATACTAATTATTATGGTGGAGCACATAATGTGCTTATTACTTATAACGTAATTCTTAATTTATAAATGACTATATTACTCAAGAATATCTCTATTCTTCAAATATATCAAGGCAGTAACGTATGAGAACCAGGAAGCTCCTATCTGTATCGGATAAACCTAGGAGTTACTTAGATGTCAGTTTTCGAGGGCTGAGTCAGATTGGCGCCGCGCCAGCACCGCCGACGTCGCCTGTCCTAAAATCTCGTCGACATGAATTATCGCTACTGAATTGGAGCTGTTGGGCCAATTTCATTCAATATAAAAAGAAATCCATTTCCAGTATATTGTACTTACTATATTCGGTTTGAATCCAAATAATAACAGAATTTTATAACTTTAAAAGATTTTCAGTTTTAGGTATTAAATAGATTTTGGCTGCATACAGCCGCATACATTCTATTTATGTATACATATAATAAACAACTATTACCATTTTGTATCTGGTGATCGGTAGGCGGGTATGCCGTATTAGTTTAGTTTTAGTATGTAATATTATGTTATCTGTAGTTCTAGTATTATTATATTCCTAGTGTAAACTAATTAAAAAAATATATATGATAAAATAAAATAAAACCTCAAATATCGTCTCGGGTATTCGCTAGTTCCAATATAAAAAATATACAGTTAGGTTACATGCAGAGAGACTCATTAGAGAAACGAGCGGAAGTCAGCACGTGAGGTGGTGGCCAAATTTAATAATACATGTAACGTACAGACTTTGAAAACTCACTTAAAAACTTGTACAGTTGTATTAATCGCCAATATTTATTCTAGTACTCAGAAACAAATCAATATTTAAATTTAAAACCCACATAATGCTTCTGTTTGAATTCTAATACCATTAGTATATACAGGTACAGTATTATAAGAAAATCTATGATGTTATTATAATATTATTAAATTGAATTCGTAATGCGTTGTACATTATGAATTCAATTTAATAATAATAACATTATAGATTTTCTTATTTCCACAGCCAAGGTAAGATTTATAACATACAATGTTACACCACAGATAAGAGAATATTACATATTTTTATTACATTACATATTAATTGTATTTATTACCTATTTTATATTTCTCTATTGCTTTTTTATAATATATTATTATTGTATGTATTATTATAATTATCTCGCTTTTTACCTGGATACCGCGTATAGTCTAGCGGACCTTAGTGTAGCGTGAATTAATTTAAATAATGCACGAGAACGATGGAAATGTTGATGAAAGAAATTTTCTTACGGCTTACTATATATAAGGAATGACGGACTGTGTTATGAATATTTACATCCCCGTTGTTGTCTAGTAGTAACTGTGGAGATCTATGCACAAGCTTTTGTGATAATGCTTCCTGTTCATTGTATTTCAATATGTAATGTTATGTTGTCTGTGTTTTAGTAAACAAAATCAGTGTTGAAAGTTGATTTTACTGGAGGTGAAAAATTTTACGAGATGAAATGCATGCGTGCAATACCTATTACTGAGGTATTGCAAAGTAAGCCGGAATTTTTGGTACAGTCGCAATCAGTAATCTATTTTAGTTTGAATTTGCCTAACATTACATATGTGTTCATTTTACTTTGTAGTATGCTACAAATAAATATGATTACTACAAAATGCGCACCTACAATTGTATCTACTTATTAAGATGAATCGTTGCCATTAATTGGTGGTTGAATCGAAAGCTACTCCCATAAATTGGACCGCACCCCGATGTTCGGTTTCCATCACGAATTGCTTAGTTCCTTGAAGGCGTTCTGCTTAAATAGCGAATTATTACATCGCCGGCACCTTTTTCCCGTTTTACTGAGCCTATGTCATTTTACGAGCACTCTGACGATTGGTTTCCCTTAATAGACTGTTACGGACTATTGTTATGAGATAACATTCACGGTTTAATTATAACTATGTATTCGTTTATAATGTTTTGTGCATGAACCTAAATGTTTTACGAAAACCTTTAAATAAAGAAGTTACTAATGACACTTGCATTTATGGCCGGATTAATATGTCACTATTATGTATTTGGACATATATATCTTTAATTTATTCATATTATTATTATACTTGTACCTACTTTCTGTTATAATTTCTATTTAATGCTATTTACTGAAATGCACTGCCCACTAATCTGTGTTTACCCTAAGGTTGATTGGTAGAAAATCCACCATATGCACCTTTATTATTTTATTTCTATAAATTAGGATCCATAAATCAATACCTAAATAATGTAATACTCGTATTGAAATTGTTTTTGTGGTGTGAAATAGTAAAGTGATAGACTTATATTGCATATTGCAATTTCTCTTCGTCAAAGATAAGTGAAAGTAAAAGTAAAATCCCCTATGGGTTGTCGGTCCAAATTCTGGGCCTAATATGTCAACTGATATGTACAATAACATTTTATTTTATTATCGTCAAAATCAAGCACAAGTCGAAAATATAGTACAAAAAGAATTGAAATAAAAAGATAGAACAATAATTGATACGGGTTATAAAACTTGCGTAATAAATATGTATTTAAGTGCAGTGATTGTTGTAAAGCATTTTATCTGTATTTATACCAGCAAAATTGTACAAATAGTGTTTATTACTGTGATCTAATATGGACTTGCAAATGGTACTACAACAAAAACGTCAAAAGTAATAACTTTGAAATGGAATAATTCGTTTTACTGCATTCTTAATATGTGATATTTAACCGTTAATATCTTTTAGTGGACATCGTATTTCTTTTAAGTTCAAAGTTTTAGGTTTTTTTTAGTAAAAAGCCGTTACACAATTAATTATGTGTGCGTGTTGGCGATAGTGGTATCCAAAGTAATTTCTTATGATACCAAATCTTTTTTTATTACCTCGTTGTTCTGTATTTCAACACCTTACACCCAGGATTTGGCCGACTACCCATTTGGGATTTATAAATTTACTTATTATCTATCTAACATTTAGCATGTATAACAAGTAAATTTTGTTAATTGCGTAATAAACGTTGTTATTATCGAATAACAAATAAGGGTAAATATCTCTTTATAACGTCTAGGGATTAAAATATAGTAGAGGTACTATCTTTTAATCCGTAGAATGTCGTATGCTAGATTAAATGAACCTATGATCTTTATATATAAAAAATACGTGTCACATTGTTTGTCCGCGATGGACTCCTAAACTACTGAACCGATTGCAAATTTGATTTACACATTGTGTGCAATTTGATCTAACTTGAAAGATAGGGTAATTTACATCTCAATTTATAGTCGCAACATTATTTTATTCAAGAACCATAGCCTCAGCAACGCGTTATACAAGTCATTTTGTGATTCGTATGTTTATATTATTGTAGGTAGTTACTAAGTACGGATGGTGTTCCATGTGTATTATTATTTACATCATTACCGACGTCCATAGACTATAATTATATTGTTTCTCCACCCTAATAAATAGGTAGAAACGAGAATGAAACTGTAATTACGAATTTGTTTATTGCAACAAACATTGATAGAATCTAAAGTAAACATTAATGTTTACTTTAACGTTGATATTACAGATTTACAATGAATGAAACAACGAGATAATCTATTGGTGACAGAGGCGTAATCTTGTTTTGTATTATTGATTTGTACGGAACATTCCAATACTATTATTTGGGATCCACACGATTTTTCGTATATAGCATAATGTTAGAACGAGTTCAGAGAAAAATTTCTCGATACTCGATGTAATATAATAGTGATAATAACCGTACAATTTATTATATATAAATTGTATGGTTATTATCACTATACTAGCTACTCCAACCGCCTTCGCACTGTTGTACATGTATTATATATATAAACCTTCCTTCCTTCTTTGATTCAAGAATCACTCTATCTAATAAACCTCTTCAAAATCCGTTGCGTAGTTTCAAAGATTTAAGCATACATAGGGACAGACAGCGACAGCAACTTTGTTTATAGATACTATGTAATGATATACATTTGAGCGGAGGGCAATTTGATGGTGCACTATTACTTGATGCTGAATGGAAGAATAGACAATCCGACAATCCTGAGTTGCTGTTCCGCGACTGGGCACATCTCGATTACTATTAGCACCACCGGTTCGCACATGCACTGCCCAGTTTACTCCCATTTATCAAGCTATCTCATTGTTCAATGAATTAGTTTCAATGCGACTAGAGGTCAATATTTTTCACGATAGCATTTATAAGTTCATTGAGTATTGTTTATTGTTTTTCGTTATGATTGTTTGCTACCAGGCAAACAAGCATATGGCCCATCTGATAGTAGACAGACGTTTACCGTAGCCTATGGACGCCTAAAACACCAGGAGGATTACGTGTGCGTTGTCAATCCTAAAAAAATACTTAAAAACACCCTTTTTGAAATCTGATATTATGTTTTATTATTAACTACTCCACGCTTTGGATTAACTATGAATATGATGAGTAACTAAACTTAAATAAAGAAATTGGTGACTGAAGGACTTGTCTATTATCAGGGTGTCCGGTGACCCCCGGCATGAGGTCGGGGGAGGCGGGCGAGGGCTCAGAACTGGCGGAGTTTGGCGCGCGCTGGCCGCCGCCCTACACCCAGGGCTATGGCTGGCGCTCCGCCACGCCGCAACACCCGCCAGCGCACCATCTCGCGCGCCATTCGCGCTCACAGCAGGTAATAGTACTGATTTTGAAAAAGTCAGTTTGATTATTCTCAATTTTCAAATAACGGCCTCGGTGGTCTAGCGGTTTAGCACACCGCCTTTACGATGATCGCGGGTTTGATTTTTTTACAAGGAACAAAGATTCATGAGTGTGATTGTTTGTATGTGTACTTTTTATGTATACTATTACAAATGATATGAGAGACTTTAAAATTTATGTCATGTAGGTATATTTTGTAGCATTCTATGTATACCATAGAGAAAAAATAAATGTTAATAACTTTGATCACGAAATTACGACTTTAACTCTGTCCAATATAGATCCATATATGTATTTTAATTTTATATACATATTAAATACATTATTGTTACAACAATATAATACTATAAACATAAGCCTGTGTGTAGATATAGCATAACAATGCAAAATTGCTAATTTTCCTTTGCGAGTATGATCGAAATGATAAATAATTATAATAATAAACACACGCTGAGCTTGTGTTATAGGTACCAGTCTAGTACTAGACAACTGATAGCAATAAACATATATTATTCACATAAAACACTCAGAACGATACAATCATACTAATGAATACAAATGTTTACATCATACGAGAAATCAAACTCGCGAGCATTGGAAGAGAGACAGTGTGATAAACCTTAAGGCTGTCAAAAATATAAGCGATTGTACTAAGGTAAAATTAATTATTACGCTCGTTGTATTCAGTGGTTACAGGATAGCAGGCATACAAGCTACGAGGCGGAGGATGCACGGGCTCGGACGCGAGGCGGCGTTTACTATTCACCGCCCGGCACTTCTTATACCATTGTAGAGAGGCCGGCCTCTTCACACGGCCACCACGCGTCCTACTCGCAGCATCACTACTCGGGGAAGCTTTCGAGGACGCCTTACCTTGGATCCACCACTATTGCCAACAGTGCGGGTAAAGACGTCGTGAATTATTTTTGCCTTTCTGTAAATGTACTTTTACGTATTAATTCCTCATAAAATCTTAAATATCTCTCACTTATTAGGTACATCAAACATCTCCGATTCATTGACATACTTTCAGTAGACATATCCCTATCAAATTCTTCTGTGCTGAATTTTTATAGCACTAGAAATACAACAGATAACAAAAATTATCGTCAAATAACACAGCAAAACTGTTGAACATATGTATATTCCTGCGAAATATACAGTGCAATAATAAAATCTACAGAATTGGATAGAATTTCGTGATGTATTACGAGAATATGTTCCGGTTTTCATGGTTAAAATATAGTAATGAAATAACAGGGTTGGGACTACGAAAGCATGGTTTTGGTATCCAAATGCACAACTTCTTATGTATTTTGTAATATCTGTAACTGAAGTATATAGGCAAATATTACTACTTTCCACAACTCACCATGGTTATCAGCATTATCACCATTCAGTAATATCAGTCATCTTAAAAATAGACACCGTATTATATGATTACTTTGTTACAGCAGGAGCATCTAGCTTGCGAAACAGCACGAATCATTTGAGTGCGGCAAATGGCAAGAAACGTCCGATATCTCCGGAACAAGTGCTGCGGCTGTTTGGACAAGGCGGTGCTGCGGCGCTGGGGAAGGCCCTGCCGCCATCACATCCACCAGCGCCGTTACCAGCACCTCTCCCTGCCAGGAGACACTCGCCCGCCAGTAGTCCGAGTAGCACCACGCACCATGTAAGCCCCTTATCTAATACTTATTAATTCAAGTAGCAGTCTATGGTATTGACATAAATGGAGATAGGTAGAGTTTAAAAAAGATATCTGTTTTCTAAAGACTTTGCTATTCATTGATAGTAAATTTTCTTTGTATGTAAATTCTTTTAAACAATAAAATTAGATATTATATTTGATTCCAGGCTCTTCTTAAAAAATGCTAATTCTAATCTTTTTAAGATTGATCTAAATTTGCAATTCTCACATTAGTTTGCAATAAAAAAAAATATGTGTACCTAAATTGGGCGGACAGCGTGTATGATGAACGGGAATGATATGAACACTTTTAATGAGATTGTAACGTACGTAAAACGCTTTTATCCAGTTAGTTTAATAAAAATATAATGAACTAATTACAACAGCAACACTAATTCATTATTAAGAAGGTTGCTTAATGATTTGCTTAGATCGATACCAAAGTGGCGTCAAGGATGACACTAAATGAACTATGTTTCTTAAAATAGCGCGTTGTATGTTGGCGGGCTTGGGGGGTGTCAACGCGTAAATAATTCTATGGGTGAGGCCAGCGGCCACCGCAGTCGATACCACTACTTTATTCATGACCACCGCGGCGACCGTTTAGTTAGCAACAACGTGGATATGACCGAGCCTGTTTTGGACAATATTCTCGCATTATTCATTCAAAAAAGGGTCCGCATTTTTGTATAGGTCTGAATGCTCAGCAAATTAATACCTATTATAAGGCTTTTAAGTAGTATAAATTTGTTACAGTCATAAAAAATCAACGTTCCTAATAGACTATTCAATATGGCTCTCCTCATAAAAGTATTTTAGGGGTGTTGTCACACGGGTTGGCGCTTAATATAGAGCTAATATTATTAGTTTTTTTTTTAAGTTTTGATTAGTTTGTTCCATTAATCAGTTCCTGGACATTCCGAAGTATAAAATAGCGTTTATATAAAAATCTGTCTATTTATTTACTTTTCCAAATTTAAATTCAATATAATTTCAATATTATTTAACAATAAAAAAAAATAAGTAGCTTTATAAACATATGGAATAGAAATATATCATATCTATGATATTCTAGCGCGCTGTTAATTAATAAAATATCGCGGGCGTATCCATGTCAGTCATTTTGGGCCATGGTCAAAGTTGTACGGGACATCATCCTTACCATCGTCAGTCGGAGTCATGACATTGTACTACACGCCGCGTAATAAAAAAATATATAGATATATTTAAATTCGTTACTATTTGTCTAAAATTTTTGTCTGAATACTCTCTACCTACATAGTGAATAAATATAAAATTTAATTAAAATAAAAAAAAATACAGTATTTTGCAGTATAATAATAATTAATATTCATCTATCTAATTAATTTTTATTCATCATATTCGTCATTTTTGAGAATAGGGTAATATTAGTATGGGCTCATATTTTTATATTTTGAAAAGTGTTACGCGGAGAGCCTAAAAACGTAACAGTGCGTGATGTGCTTATGTATCGAAGCATTAAGTGACGAAGTATATTTAGTAGCATTTTCAAATTGGATTCCACTGAGAATCATGAGGTATTTTATGTTATTTTCTACTAAATAAAATTATATTTTTATTTTTATATGATTATAAGAAAAAAATACATAAAAATTAAATCATGATTAGGTGTACTTATTTATATAAATAAGTTGTCGCCAAACTCCGAGGGTACGTGAAATATCCCACAGTGTTTAGCGGTTTAGCACGTCGCCGCGTCGCTTTAATTCTGAAGATTGCGCGTTCGATTCCACACACGATACAGATATTCGTGTTCATAAATGTGTATCTGTGTTGGTCTGGGTGTTAACTATATTGTGTATATATTAAGAAAAAAAGCATTTAAATATTAGCAACTAATGCTTAGACTAGATGGATCTGTGTTAATTGTCATAGATTATTGTGGTTACATGAGCATGACGACGCGTCACTATCATATTGCGTGGCGACAGTCAGTCTGACCTGACTCGACATTTTAGGTATTTCACATATAAAGTTACATGGGAATAATATTTTCTCAACATATGATGATGTATTTGATAAAAAGTGTTAACTAACAATCGCCAACATTATATACTTGGCACACAAATCTATAAATGCTATATATATATATAGTAGCGTGTTTTCATCTCTCTGTTTCTTCATTTACTTCTAGTTTTCACTACCATTACGAGTATTTCTTAGAAAAGTTTTATATGTTCACTATATATGTATAGAATTTATACAACTGTCGCCATGCATTAAATATTAACCCGTGTGAAACACCCTACCGTGTAAAGTGGAGCGAGGTCGCTTTTTTTTATAATTACGATGATTTCTTAGAGAAATCATTATTACGTTACTTGAAATCGATACTAACTAGTCAGTATAAATGTAACTACCGAATCCACAAAATCGATTTCTTCGTACTGTTTCTGTTTCTACTCACTGACATGCGAAGGAAGTAGTTAATCAATTCGCGGGATTCTGCAAACTTTGTTGTGGGCTGTCAGTTTAGCCAACCGGGAATGGTTCTCGGGTATTCCGAGCTCACTTGTTGAGTTTACCTCGAGTACGTATCAAAATTTACGTGAGGATTATAGTCATAATCATCATCATTACATAGTACACATAGTATAAAGTAAAGTCGCTGTCGCTGTCTGTCCATATGTATGTTTAAATCTTTAAAACTATACAATGGATTTTGAAGCCTTTTTTTTAATAGATAGAGTGATTCTAGAGGAAGGTTTATATTTATAATACATGAACACGCGTGCGAAGCCGGTGCGAGTAGCTAGTAAGATATATAATCTACTTAGTATCCAACTGGCCTAATCAATCTCATTTACTTCTATAAAATCATGTCCAGACGAATATATGGTTTCATACCCAAAAGCGAATATTCTTTCTACTTTAGAAACGTGACGGAATTTTTTTATTTAATTAAGTTAATTTATTGTTGAGTAGTTTACTTTTATAGTCATATTGTAGTGGAAAGAAAAATGGGTTGTTATGTTTCTAATGACTTAAATAAATTGTTTCTGAATAGATTTATCTATAATGTTAATTCAAATATATTATCAAAATATAGATATTTATACAAAAATAGTCATAGTAGGTATATACATATATGTAGTGTACGTGTATGTAAGTACCTAATTGAGTTTGAAACTAAGCTAATATTTTTTATAACACATAAGTAGCATATATTATTATTCATTCTTGACGTCGAGACGTTAAAAGCTTCTATTTGTGACACATTCTCTCTCTCTTTGAGCAATGCGACCGTAATTTACATACTGTGTTTGCTGCAGTATATATTCTATATACATTCATGTTATATATTCGTCTATAACCTGATAGCGTTTCATAAGATGGTACAGTGTAAATATCAAAGGTTTCGGTCGCATCGCTACTATCAGATCTGAGTGGCTCGAGGCAGTAGGAGCGAGCCACTTGTATTGCCTTTGAGATGCTAAATGTTTGCTCCCAGTAACATTGTTTGCGCAGAGGGGCTCGAGTTTTATTGCTTATGAACGACTCGTACCCGAGGGCAATATTAAGGAAAACAATTCTTAACAAAGTTCTCGGTATTTAAATTAAAACTCTGCAATGTTGCCTGAATTTTTATAGTTTGTTTACCAAGTAAAGAGATTCATTATTCAACATAGAACTTATATGTACCTGGAATATTTTCCTAATAAAGTAAAGTAAAAATAAAATAAACAGATGTCTTGGCTACTTGATCAAATACCATCTATAAACATGTTCACTTATAATTGTGTATTTTTATAACAATATATAATGTAATAATTGAAAAGAGTGAGAACAGAGTTTCTTCTTAGATCTTCTTAGATTGAAATACTTCAGAATTGACGAGAGATTTGACTTATTATAAGTATCTGCAATAACACCTACGAGTACATAATAATGATATGTTGATTTGAATGATTTGTTTATATAAAAGATTATTTTAGTGGTTATTATCCTACATCTAAGATGTGGAATATATTCAGTAGTATAAAAACGTCCCGTTTATATATTAGTTCTAATTACTATTTTAAATCTCTTTTCTGATTACTATGACGTAATTAGCTTATATAGCCTAAATAAGTTTAAAATAAAAAAGATTAGAGACATAGAGGTTGCTTATCTCACGCAAGCAAACTCTATCTAATATGGACGATATTACGATGTTTTATTCTTCTAAAAATAACTTCAGTTATTTGTTAGGTTTACAGAGACTCGCACGAGAATTCTTATAAATAGCAAAATGAACGTGTGTGATCCATTCAATAGGTAACGGACTTCTTTATACAAAATTCTTTTCACCAGGCGATATATCGCGGTGCTGCCGAGCGAGATCGCGAGCGGCCATATTCGTCGGGGGGTGCGCCGCCGCCGCCGACGGAACCTGCCACCAGGACCGTCACCATGAGTCGGGATCCTGCCGACTCGCACGGGTTCGGCATCTGCGTGAAAGGTGGCAAGGAGGCAGGTGAGCCTGGTGGTACGCTCACAAACACATTTATTACAACGCTTTTATATTTAAGACTAGTAAGATTTTACCACTGGCAACTAATCTGTTTATAGCCTGACTGGTTGCATGATATAAAAACAATCTAATAATACTAAATGTGTAATTCTTTAATCTGGGTCTATCTGGGTGTTTTCTATTTATATTACGTATGTATTTATGAAAAAAAAATATCTAAGTATTTATATCAGTTTTCTAGTACCCATAGCACAAACTCTACATACCGTGGGACTAGGATGGCTCTATGTTAATTGTCCAGGGTTATTTATTTATATACTTATTATTTATATAATAGATATATAGCAGTCTGATTCTTTGTTTTGTATTTAATTAGTTAGTTATTTAATTACTTTACAAGATGTAAACTGTACCACGCATGTTGATGTAAATAATTTCAGTTAGCTCTACTATTTATATTTTAATCGACCTAATTTTCCTATTAATGAAATCATATCTTATCTGTGTTAAAATTGACATTATTATAATTTTCTGGTATATTTTAGCACATGTAATTACACTTGATACTCATCCTTAAAGTCGAAGATATGTGTCCGACTTATTAAACGTATCAAAACTTCTACAGTCATTTCACATTCATGGAACGCCTCTAGATGCCCTCTCCTCATCTCTATTTTCATCTTTGTTTTAAAAATTAAAAATATAAGTTAATTATTCGTATATTATACAACAAAGAGTAATAAAATAAATTCAAATGTTTGCATATTTACTAAGTCGACAGACAACAGTGTAACGAATGACCTCTCTTTCTGTAATATGTATAATCTTTCTGTAAAGGATAATTTTTATCTCTTAATAACAATACAAACTTTAAAATGAAGTACTATATTATTACATTTTTTAAGAAAATAAAGCACCCGACTATTTCTATCTATGTATGCTATCTAGATTTACATAGATACTTATAGTGATGACACTTGTAATATTACTAGATACATAAGCAGAAATATGTCAGTATAATTTCTCCAGTAGAACGGAGACCGCAGCTGAATTATTAAAACGTCTCTGGAACACAAAAATAAGTAAATACTATACAATTGCAAACATTCGTGTCCAAGTTCTCGTTTCCACTGAATATTAAAATATTATCCATTGTGTGTATACCTTCGCATCATTATGGAATGCTTGTGTACTTTTAATTAAATGTTTTCACTATTTACAGAACAAACAAGCGGGGAAATTTTAATTTAACTAGCTAATTGAAGTAATTTCCATTTGTTAAAAATAATAGGGAAATGCTGAATTATATATTTTTGCATTTATGAAGGTTTTAACATACTAACAATTATTTTAGACTAATTAATATATATGTCACTGATATACTCTCGAACATCATTGTAATATTACATGTGAGACTAGTTATTATTCGCGATATCGCCCGCTGAAACATTAGACTTCTTTTCCAAGTCAAACAGAATGTTTTAAATTATTATCAATAATAATAATTTATGATAAGCGCCAACATAAAAAGAATCAATGTCATTTTGTAGTTATGAATGTATTTGAAATTATATACTTATATAGCACCTAGCTCCTTTCTGCGCAATAAGTACGTCATGAAAAATGTTATTTGTTTTAGCTATTTCTCTAGTTAAATATATTCGTTCTTCATTCATTCATTAAGGATCAAAGTGAATGGCGTTACATGTATTAATTATAGTTTACTTTGTAAAACAGTCCGCGACGAATTATCACTGTAACAAATTATCTATATTTACACGAGTATAAGCTGTATCTTATATGTATAAACTATCTCCATTTTAACATCATCATTATTACATAGTATAAAACAAAGTTGCAGTCGCTGTCTGTCCCTATGTATGCTTAAATCTTTAAACTACGCAACGGATTTTGAAGCGGTTTTTTAATAGATAGTGTGATTCAAGAGCAAGTTTTACAGATATGTTTAATACATGTACACCCGTGCGAAGCGGGGTTGGGTAGCTAGTTAATTATAAAATACATATACATACATACTTATTAATTAAAAACTACACTGCATTTAATTATACGTTTCCTATAGACTAATTTAGAATGATAAACTCTTCATTCCGAGACCTATTATTTACCAAAGAAGTTGATACAAGTTGAAATACACAAAATCTGTGGAGGTTATCCTGTGGTGAGGCGCTTTGTTTTTTATGATACCTATTAGAGACGTTCCATGCATGCTTTTTTGTAGGCTAAAATACACTTATAAGTCGAGAGTAAAGGTTTCGTTTTGTTTATTAGTATTCTGTACCTGTTGTTGTCATGCACAGGTGTGGGCGTGTATATATCGCGAGTGGAGGAGGGTTCGGTGGCGGAGCGCGCAGGGCTGCGCCCCGGGGACTCCATTCTACAGGTCAATGGGACGCCATTTTCTGGAATTTCACATGAGGATGCACTAAAGGTAATTTTTATTTAATACCTATGTATTACTACCTACCTAATTAATATTGAATAATTATGCATTAAATAAATTGCGATTACATTAATATTATTAAACACATAATCTTCAACTACCCTCAGTTACACCCAGATATCCACTTATATATAGTACTTATAGCATACGCCTAGAAAGCAGTAACAGAATTTCAACGAGAATATGAGTAACTACGGAAAAGCCGCAGCTGCATAATGAGGTTTATGTTAATATTTTGTGACATTGCCACTGTATTTATTTTTATGGGATTAAAAAGAGAGATCCTATTTATTACCCTATAGTAAGTGTGATTTGTAATATAATGTTGATATGAATGATAACTTAGTTCTCCAAAGCGCTTACCTGTTGCATCTGGCAGATCGTCCGGGGACTGGGCCAAATCACTTCTCCTCTGCCAATGTATGACAAACTAACTAACTCAGTATTTCCTCACTGAGTTTTTTAAATCTCTCGATTAATATATTTTTTCCTCTTTGAGACTTATTTAGTTATTGCTTATTCGAGATCATAAAAATGATAAGTTTGTATTATATACCATATATGCAAGTTACTTTTTATTCATGAGACACTGTCTCCATAGTTATTCTTTATATCATAAAATTTGAATATTCTTTTTGCCTATTAGTTTACATTTACGTGACATTATAGCCATTATAGAGCATTGGTTAGAGCTTTATATATTAACCCCATTGTCCAAATTAGCCAAGAGACAAAGGTAGACTGTGTTACCGAGATGAGTTTATAATGCAGTGACATAAGCGTCACATGTTAACTTATTAATAGAAATGTTACTTCTCTGAAGTGAACCGGTGCTCTGTTAAAGTCAGTCTGGTCATTTATAAAATTATTTCTAATGGAATAAATTCTCCTTATTGTATAAATAAATTAACCTGCTCTATTATTATATACTTTTTATCCATGCACTTTATTCAACAATTGATACTAAGATATCCTTTATTACCACCTAAAATTGTATAATCTCGAATAAATATGATTTTACAAAAAAAATATTATTGTTACATTGTTAGTGAAAATAGCCTCATTTACTAACCATTACAGACATAACATATTTCAGTTCATATCCAGTTCTGCGATAGATATGGCTGAACAAAATAGTATATGTCTCAAATATTTTAATGAAATCTAGATTAATAAAAAAAAATATTATCTGAAAACAGAGTTTTTGAAACAATAAATAATTTTAAAGGAGTACATTTCAACTGGTACTTATATTACTTTTTCCATATTTTGTTACTACATATACATGGGTATTTACTATGTAATTATTTCGTGATAATCAAACATTTTCCATTAGTGTTATTTTATCAACCGAATTCAAAAAGGAGATAGTCTATTTTATTTCTTACTTAGATTGGTCATTTTGAGAAATAGAACATAAAAATATAGGATAAAAACCAACTCTTTCCACGGAAACTACATAACATAAAGTTTGGATTAGTTCGGCCCTTGTCACGTTTTCTTTTCGCACAATATCTTGTTGTTAGGGCAGTCACGTTTATTTTTGTTTGCGATGAAATAATGCATATTTACGTGATGCTATTTCGTCCAATAAATAAATTTAGGTACCTACTTTATGTCATATTATTTTCTCGTAATAAATAAATTTTCTTAACATGTGAAACGATGTAGCTATTCGTATTTTGTATTCGTACAAAACGAATCTGATTTTAGTTATCATGATTATAATTACTATTATAAAAAAAATGTTGCATTCAGTAAAAAATGGATATTTGTATAAAAGTCAATTATACCAATTAATTTATGGGATGTAAATGTTCATCTATTATAATATTACATGAGACTGTCCCGTATCTCTATCAACTGATAGCATGACAACATGTGTAAAGAACTACTAGTACCGAGTACAGCAACTACTAGAAACAGATGAAGCTCATGACATCTCATACTGACACCTGTGGGCTAATTATGTAACACGATATGAAATTGTTTCTGTTGAAGTTGTGATGCAATATAAAATCATTTCAATTTAAAAAATGCGATCAAGTAAGGTCGAATGACCGCAACATAAATAATTTTTATCGATAAAACACTACTATGAAGTTGCAGCGGAATATTGTTAATCCGACCAATTTAAAAAGTCAGTACATTAGATAGCTTATACCTTTAGAGGGATACATTTTAAATTATTGGGTTAATACACTAGTTGGTTGATTTGAAACAATTTTTATTGCGTTCAAAAATTACAAAATATACTGCAGCGTTCACTTGTTCTTTTATTTTAATTTTATTAATAGACATTTAATAAAATAAAATAAAGAAAGTCTATTCTATTCTAATGGAAAAATAAGGTTAATAATTTTGAATATAAAAGCATATTTTATACAAACTATTTATAATCATTAATAATATTAATCTAACCTACAAATTAAATTTTCTTTTCTGCTATAGATACCTAGGTAAGTACGTAGGTATCCATATAAATTTAAAATGATATGGGCACATCTTTTTAAATTTGTACATAATTGTAAAAACTTTAAACAAATAAATTTATTTACTTTAAACAAATCACAGAGCATCATAAACGTTGTATTCCGTTCACAGAGCACCGTATTCATTGAAATAGTTTTTTAATTATATTAATATCATAATCAACCCTAATTTTATATTAAACGTTTACTCTAGTTAATACAACATTTTTTATTCTATGTGATTTGGGACGAAAATAAAATATCGAATTGGCTGATGTCATGTTGTGAGTCTTGACAATTTTCCCATTTTAATAAATTTAAAACCCTTTCACGACTTTCTACGTAATATTTAATATAATAAAAATATATGTAATACTGAAAATTACCAAAACAAGATAAATAATGCTGCTAATGCTGATATTTTAAAGATTGTAAACCAAAAGAAACACCTTCTAAATTGTTTCTCATAATGTAAAAACCGTTTCAATTCCACGCTGTCATTTCGGCAAAATAGCGATTACGTGACGTTGCAACGAGGTTACTAAATCGACATTCGATAGAAATAATTTTTATCGATATGTAAAGTTGCGTTTACGTTGCAATGCTAGTTGACAGCGTCAAATGGCGTCAATATAATCGCATTATTGACAGATGACGTCATTTTCACTACGTTACATACGAAAATCGTTGCGAACGAAGTTAGATAATTAGCCCACTGGAATAGCAACGGATGGGTGGTAGAGACTACAGGCGACACATGATGTTCCTGGTGATGTTCATGTATGAATGGCGACGCCTGTCACTTACTGCCGAGCGTACAATAACAATAGCAAATGCAATAAAAATATTCTAATAAGACATATTTTATGAAACAGAAATAATGTTTATTCAAATAAGCTTAATTTAAGCAATTTTAATAGTCATATTTTTTTATTCTACCGCTCTTCGGAACTTAGACTCATCACAAGAAGAACTAGCGAGAAACTTGCGTGATGCTTTTTTCAATTTGAGACTAAACGAAGATTATGTAAAGTTGAGATTAAACCAATCTAAAATATGAACTTCATATAAATATAGATGTTATAGTCTAATCAAACGATAACGAAAAATATCAACATAAAAGTTGAGTTTACGTGCGAGAAAATACATCGTAGATATTTTGTTACTATTGTAATCTTGAGTTTAGGGAGCCGAATAGGAGTCAGGTGAATAGCGCTATTTTTGCAGACGTTCGTTCGAACTTTTTCCTTCCGTGCGCCGCGATATCGCTTGATTTACGATGCCACTTTGACATTCACTGAGGCTTTTTGCGGACATTAAGACTTTATATACACAACAAAAACGCAAACAATGTTACAGAAAGGGCCGTTTTGTATTAAATATAGATAACTACATAGTACAAATTAAAATAATATAAAACTATTATTTTACTTATCACTATCTATACTCGTAAATCAGTCGCAAAATCAATATTCATTTTTATGTTACATTTTTATATAATATATGGTATTGTTTTCATTACATTTCTGTTGTGCCAAAGTTATGGCCAAAATTTATACTTATGATTGATCACTGAGTCAATCATAACTATAAGTTATGTTAAGTATAAGTTATTAAAAGAATTAGAATGAAAATTTCACAATTTTATCTATTTGTTTGTATATTTTATGAAATGGAATCTACGTCAATTTGAATGAATGAATGTAAAGCTAATTCTTATGCTCTTGCAGAGTCCTGCAGCAATTGGAATTTATGTATTGTATACGATGCTTGTTAAAGTTTTTATTACAGAAAAGTGCCATTAAGTCTTTGGAAATGTATTGTAGGATCTAGATGTACTCGTAAAATGCATACAGACCCCATGGAGCCATGAATTCATTCAGACATATAGTTGTTTATGTATAACCAATAGGTATTTATACAGATGCAAAAAGTATATGCGTATTACAATGCGTTCACCAGTAGCGAAAGTATAAACAATTACTTTTACTTCCATTTATTTGAAATAAAAAAAATGCGTATTGTCGTTCAAGTATATATAGACGACGGTTACCGTCCGAGGTGGGCCGTCAGCTAGGTCGTCATTCTAATTACATAAATAAAAATTATTTCATTTTAAATTTGTGAACGTAAATTTACATTCTCGAAAACTAGAGTTGCCAGAAGGATAAGGTCACTTATCCTTCAGGCAATACTGGTTTGTGTAGCGAGTTTACAAGTTCGAAATTTGAATTAACGTATAGTTCAAACTTCGAACTGTGTCACACTTATTTTATTTATAGCATCAGTTAATAAAGATGGTTGTTATATTTTATTACAAATTTAAATTTAAGTTAGAGATAATTCGGGTTTTTATGCTCGCTGGATACGACTACCGTAATTTCCCTAAAAATGTTTACAGACAACATGTTGTTGAGTAGTGAAAGTGAACACACATAAGTATTTAGAACATGAGCGATTTATAGAATATTCATTATATACAAACTCTACTTTTTACAATTTAATAACTTACGATGCTGTCTAATCGTTTTGGTTTGTTTAAGTATCCAACACTGAGCAATTAGCAATACGTATTACGACAGTTAGTTATTATTTTTCATTCCAAATTCGAAATCCCAGTCTAAAATAAAATTGCCGTTATATAACTAATTTAAAACATGACAAACAGCCACATTTACATCACTAAGAACAAAATAATATTTGTAATAAAATCTGCAATATATTTTTTTACTATACGCCATATTTGCAATTGGCTGTGTTGATACATTTTAAAAAGTTTTATCTTGAAATAAAAACCCGCGCAATTAAAATAAAACAATTTGTGCCTAAAAGTTTGCGAATTCTCTTTTGTAAAACCTTTTGAATTTATATATAGATAAAATATTGTTTCATCTTAAAAGGGCGGTCCTAACTTTTATAAATGTTGTGTTTACTAATCTGTGCATGTAATTCGCAGATAAGATAATATTACATATGTAATATAATAATAAGCCAACAACAGATCTGCGTAGTACATTTGTAACCAACCTACTTGCAAGCCGGGAGTACAAAGTTTTTTGTTTACGATACAATAGCTATCAAGGGAGTTACGTGGAAGAAGGCTGCGACGTATCGGCGTTTGTTATTTATATTCACGCGCGACTTCCAAGTATAAAGTTCTCATTGTGAAAATCTAAGACCGTGAAATAAAGCATCACCCGATACACCTGGCTTACAGCAATTTTTTGTTGTTCAAGTGACAAATATATACAACTAAATAGGTAGTTACTTAATGTTCTTAAATAATATAAACTTTAAACGTGATATCATGATTTAATCGTGATATTTGTATAGCAGTTGTTTTATAACTTTAAGCAAATTTATTTTGCTTTCTCTTTATGTTAAGGCAAACAAGCTTATAATCCTCTTGACGCGACGCGACGGTAAGTAACCGTCATATTATGAACATATATACATGATCAACACCTCCGACATCACGTTCATCACATTGACGTTCATGGACGTCCGTTAAACATATTTTATGCGGTAGCATTTCAGAGTCCTGTAATTTTATCCTGTAATTTCACTGCCTGGACGGCCTAAACAGATAAAACTGAAGTCCCCAATTCCAAATATAGAAATATTAAATATTTTATTTTCATTTCCATTCCATTAGATGTCACACCTGTAAATTCACTGTCATATTCTTCTAAACCGACACTTTAATCACAGTTTAAATCAAGCTGCTGGACGGTAGATAAAACCGAGGTCCCCCATTTCCCAAATATAGGAATATAAAAATTATATTTTCTTTTTTATTCCATTAGATGCTTAAGTCATGTCGGCAACTGACGATGACGGTGCGGACAGCAGGCGCGCTTGTTGGCCGCGCCTCTTGTTCATGGATGGATCGGTACGGAAGGCCCGCATCGCCGCCGCCGGCGCGTCCCCCGCGCTCCTCCAGCAAGGACCGCTCGATACGAAGGGTAAGTGGTGTTATTTACATCTATACGTTCTACTCTTGTCTTTGGACTCTTGATGTTATTAATAGTGTTAATTTTCTTTAGTTTTTGTAAATTGTTGCGTATTGCTGACTCAAAGTTTTAGGAAATCCCTCTCCGAATTTCTAACTTTTACTTTTTGAGTCATTGAATAATGTATTTAAGTTTTCTTCTTTCCTATCATCTTTTTTCGTAACTTGTTGCGTGTGAATTATTTATCTATCTAAAATATAATATCGCTGGTTGTATCGCTATCGCTGGTATTATTTTGAAAACTATGCTCAATAAAAATTAATATATATTTTAACGGCCAGGCATAGTGGGAATAGCATTTTGGCGTCACTAAGCACAATATTTCAATAAATAGCCCATATTTGTTATTTCTTAAACTAACTTAAACCTCCTCATTAATGATTAATGAAAGGTCATGAGGCATCTGCATTACCGTTTGTACGACATCTAACAAAGATGTATTCAAACAAACATTATTATACATTCATTTTATTATAATTTTTATATGCCAATTTCCCAGTCCTGAATATGAGAATGCCCATAACTGGTGCAGATTGGACCGAACATCGAGACGGCGGTATGCTAATCGTTGTTCGCGGGCCACTAAAGTCTGTCGTTAGTGGTCGTAATGAGACTGTCGGCATATCCGGTCTGGCTCCGGCCGCCAGTGACCACCCACATTCCCTCACCACGTCGATTTGGATAATGCAGTCGTCCGCAATAAAATTTAACTTACCTTGTACTCATAGTTTACCTAATCGGAAATGAAGATCAACTCATTTCTTTTGTACAAGCTCAAATCTGTTCCCTTGAGTTAGTCAACATTCAGCTCAATTTATTATAGTAATTAAAATATATGTCGTTGTATTTAGGTTATGTTGGTGTCTGATTTGTAAGAGTGTAACAAAACACTGTAAGTTTAAATTAATTAATTATTTGTAGGTTTTATTTTTAAAGAATAAATAGTTAATACATCATCCATTATTTCCTAAACATTTTGTAAATAAAAAAGTAGGTATTCCTTAAATATATTGAAATGTAATTTAATTACGAGGTCTACTGGACTTGATAATAACACTGTATAAATAACATTAGTCCTTGTTAATTATAACGTCCACAATCTATGTTGCTGACGTTGGACCGTTTTTATGACACCGCGATAAGTACACACCTGTAATAGGTATTCAGGAAGTACTTAACTGCCTACCGCTTCCTATAATTAGGAAGTATAACGAGCTCCCGTTAGACGAAAATGAGAAGGCGACCTAATGAGATTATTAATAAATTAACAATACATTTTCCACAGGGTGCTATACTGTTTCCTGGTGTTGATATATATATATGTATTATGCAACTGGAATGGCAAATAAGCTGACGGTCCACCTGATGGTAAGTGGCAACCATCGCCGATATACGTGATACGTGGCATCACACGATTACCTACGTGAGCAACACCGTCGACATCACGTAGGTAATCGTGTGATGCCAATGACCCCACTCATATGTTGCCATTCCAGGGTAGACTGTCTATCTTGATCTTCGACCGAAGTACAGTTTAGAATGCAATCTGCTCGTAAGTTATAAATAAAGTTGCTAAACGGCAATAATATATACCATGCAGGTATGTAGGTAGACGACTTTGTACACATTATATTTCAGTATATTATTATATAAAATGTTATTATACACAGGTTGACCTTTGTATCGAGCCGGGTCAGTCATTGGGCCTGATGATCAGAGGCGGTTTAGAATACAACCTCGGAATTTACATCACAGGTGTCGACAAGGAGTCTGTTGCTGATCGAGCCGGACTAATGGTAATATTAATTCCTTTATTTTTATAAGTATAAACTCCGATTGTTTTTTATTTTGTAATTGAAATCTGATATGAATGATTAACTTTTATATCAAATTTCAATTAATCTTAACATACTTACAATTCCTTTCATATTTTCATTGTAGATTAGGCAAATATTTTATCCATTACTCTGTTTCTAGATAGATGAGGTGCAATTTGGACATACGCCAGCCGTTGGCACGTGATGCATTAGTTGAATTACTGAAATTGAGGGTTCTTATGTATGCATTATGCATTGAAATAGTTCTTTAGTTTCATTTGTAAGACAGAAATATAATTCTCTTCATATATTATGCGACAAATATATTATCAGTCACGAACCCATACATCCGGTGACATTTGATAAATTTTTAATTAGTTGTTTTTGAGTTATACTGATCTAACAGACAGATTGTACTGTACGAAAAAAAAACAAAATACTGATTAACAATTGTATATGACTGTTAGTTTACTAACATCTATCTAGATGGTTTACATTAAGACTATTTAGTTTAGTCAGGTAAATAGTCAGGTAAATCCAGATAAGTGAACGTAAAGCTTATTTAATTTACATAGGTATCTATATATAAAATTTAGAACCTCGTAGCTTTGTAGTAAATTACCATGTTATAAATATTAATCTAATCAACACCAAAAAATGTTGTGTGTCTATTTATATATTATTTCTGACTGACTTACAGTGAAAGAAATATCTATATCAAAAATACAAAACAGCCGGCAAGCTCCCCGTCTGCAACGTTGCAACGTTTAAACATCCTGTGAATGTGATCATTTTAAATATTGCATTCACTTCAACATTTAACAATGCCTCTGACTACCGCATTTGGGACACAGTTGTTGTGTTATATTTAATTTAATCATTATATAAAAATTTAAAATCATAGAAATTATTGATGTTTCACTAAATTAATCCACTAAAGTAGTTTATTTTAAAACTTTAACATAGTAAAACATATTTTATCACTACTGTAATGTAAGTGGTAATAATTTTATACTTCCTACTAAATTAATATAGAGTTACTTTAGAAACGGTCGTGAATGTGGGGGCGAAGTGCCGTTTCCGTGACGAAATAGCTTCAAAGTTTGTTAGGACTCGACAGCTTTGTCTTGCAGCGTGCCAAATTGCTTATTCGCTTTCTATTAAACTTTCACGGAACCCTGACTAAATCTATTTCGTATGTCATTTATTAAACGTAAGTAGGGATGACCAGAACGATATACAATTTTGCAAAGATATTCGAAATAAAAATTAATATTATGTATTATTTGGATACAATTTGTATAAATTTAACGTTTACTTAGGAATGCATTACATGCAGTAATTGCAGTCTATTTTATTAGATAAATATGTTCCACATAAAGATTTTCAACTATTTTGACCAGATTTAAAAATTCTATGTTCTATAAATGTTTGTATAAAAATAATACACAATAATAAAATAAACCTATGACTGACTAACCTAACGACTAATTGATCAGCTCACGTCACTAACTTATATTGTGACGTCAATAACTTCTCCGGCTACACACGGCGGCTTCCTACTAACACACATTTAAAACGAATTACCTATTGTCGTTTTTTCATACCACATGATATAAAAAAAAATGAAAGGCTTTGGTATGTTTGCCTACAAATATGCTTACATTGATACCTAGGCGTACTGTAAACTCTTAGTCAGACAAAATCAATTGACTATATATTTACGTTTAAACAAACGTTACGTTAAAATGTTTGTTATTACATCTGCCCACATAGTATTCCTCGTAATAGTTACTCTGTGCCCACCCCTTCTCTGTCCTCTGTCAAATGTCCTGACATGACATTTTAATGTTTATGTTGAAAATGTAGGTTGTAGGTTAAAAACGGTATATTAAATTTTAGAGTCAATTATATTATGTTTCATGAAAAATTTAGTAAAACTGTGTAGCATTTGAATTTACGATTGCTTTAGTTGTTTGTTAGATGAATAAATAATAATATGAATACAAATGTTTGTACCGCGCGAGAAATCGAACCCTCTACTAAAGTAAGGCGGGGTGCTAAACCGTTAGACCAACGAGAATCATATGAACAAAATGGTTTTATAATATTTTATACTCTGTAATAATGACGCCCGACTCACTCAAGATTGATTTTTTAAATTAATTACAACTGCCAGTCCGGCCGTCACTTTGTAAGTTAATTTTATCCTCCATCATCCTCCATCCATAGACCTGAATATCTTATATCAATCATTCAAAACAAAAAGCATTTTGTTAAAAATTTAAATTATTATACAAATTTAATTTATTTCAAATTTAATGAATAATATCTATGAATTTATATACAACTGTTTAATTTTGTTGAAAATGAAAATATACTACCGGTAACGAACCTTCCCTATTTAAAGGTGGTTGATAATATATTTTTTTCTTACTTAATAAACGGCTAGATATTTTATTGTTACCTATATTATTTATTTATGTCAATATTCTGTTACTACAGTAAATAAACAAAATCATCATATTTATTTATTGCAGTACTGAATATATTCGTTATTAAGTGTGTAATATAGTACAAACTAGTTGGCATTTACATACTTATTACATATTCGTAATTATAATATATAAAGAATATTAAGTTTTAAGTTCATTTATAATAAATAATGTACATTAATACTATGTGTGATACGCAATCAAAAACATGTGAAATCAATTGCGTCGGTAGTAAATAAATTGTTAACATGTTAAAGTCTAGTCATATAGAGCTCGTAGCGAGGTGTGGTGGGAAATTTATTGTGTTTGAGCTAGAGACGCCCCGCCGCGCCTTCTACACGCTACATCCGTAACGTATAAATTATGTCTATAAACCTCAACCATCACATTAATTGATATTGCAATCAAACTTAATAATAATTATCCTTTGAAGGAAGAAATATATTTTTAATAACATTTTCTATCATTAATAAAATTAATTAACTGTGTTATTTTTGCGATATTAACTTTATTATTTTACTAAAAAAGTAAATTTTCAAAAAATTGTATTTTGGTTTATGCTGTTTATTACTAAATACACAATATGCTTATAACAGCTGCGCCGATCCTAAAAATTTCCAAACTTTTACTAAATAGATAACTTAGTATTTTTACAAATTAATATAATAATGATTATTACTTAATACCGAAAAATAATATAATTCAATTATATTTCATACAAATAATACCTTTGTTCCCAATTTTGTTTATAGTTAATGATTTACCTCTCAAGTTTGAACTTGTTTCTGAAATTCGTAACATAAATTCTTTCGAATTCTCAAAATACAAAATAAGACTGAATAAATATTGCTATTGTATTTAATTGTTTTATTTTTGTTTAGGTGGGGGATCAGATCTTAGAAGTGAATGGGCAGTCTTTTGTGGATGTGACTCATGATGAAGCTGTGGCGCAACTCAAGTACCACAAACGTATGTCGTTGCTGGTACGGGACGTTGGGAAGGTGCCCCATGCTTGTACCGCGTATGGTGAACGCGATGCTGCCCCGAGGTTAGGATTATTTATACATACCCTTATATATTATAATATGTGACATATTTATATATACTATACTTTGCATCGGGTATTTGTTTAAAATTACACAGACTTAAAATAAGGGATAGTCCTCAATGCGGTTTTGGGTTGTTACGAACAAAATAATGCAATCTTACCATGTTTGTTAATAGGTATATATCATTACGTTTTTTTGTTGATACTCAAATGAATTATGAGTACATATTTTGTTTAGTTGTGTTAGTCTAACCCACACTTGTTTGTTGTCATAGAATAAGCGGATGGGGTCGAAGAAGGGGTGCAGCAGCTGTTGCTGTGGAGCAGAAAGCGAAGTCGCTATTGCCACAAAGTGATTTACCTGCACTGGCATACTATATGGAAGAGTATGCCGCTAGGAGACTCACCCCAGATGCATTCTTAACGGTACTGAGGGATCTGCTAGATACTCCACAGAAGGTACATTAAATTATTTGAAAAATTACTACATACAATAGTAGTTTTCAAAGTTTTGAGTTTAGTATACATTATTAATATAGTTAATAGGGTTATACCCTATAAACTATGCGAGTGATTTTTTGTTAAATAAAGGTACTTAGTTCTATAGAAGGTTTGACTAGGTTTATTTATGATTATGAGTTAAGACATGATGAACTATATTAATAATGTATACCACATAGAATATTCAACAATTGATCAGATTTTAATATACTTATCGATACTAATGTAGTATACCTTATAGCTTCTACAATATATATCTCCAAAGGAATTATATTTCATGTCTCATACTTATTATTAGAACTTTGAATTGTTTAGTTCAGAAGTTAAAAACTGACGGACTTACATATAAACATTCTAAATATTATTTAGGTAAGAACCGCTTTGGAAGTTAAATTCTTTCTTTATTACATCTTCTGTACATAGAAAAATCTACGGTGTTTCGGTTTTATTACTTCAGATGATATATAAGACAGGACTTATTTCTTTATAATATTACTTAGTTTAGACCTAGGTACAGATAATACAGTTTCCACTTTTATTTATTTGTATACTTTACAAAACAACCCATCAATCATTGAGAAGAAGCTCCTGTTTGTCGAAATATTCATTTTGAAACAAATTTTACTTGAATTATTCGCAGCTGCTAAACAGTAAGTGAAATGCCTACTTAGTGATGTATATGTTCATATATTGATTCTATAAATTGTAAAACTTCATATTGTCTAATTGTTTGTACAAATGAGTATAGATGTATGTACGAGGAAGTCTAAAAACTATTTATAGTCATATTTTCCGACTATATGTATATGAAGCATTTTGATATTTGCAGTTACAAGCTAAGTTGTTCACAATTTGCAAAGTCATATAGTGCGTTCATAATATAAAAATATTTCAATCTATTTACAGATGCGAATTATTAGCAAAGTGTTAGCTGCACGGTACACATTATTGAGTAACGTTTCTATAATACGAGTACTTTAAGACTACCTACCTGGCAATTTTATTACTGGAAATATGCTTAGCTTTGATAGCTAAAAGATATGAATTCAAACCCTATTAAATTACAGTTACAAACGAGTTTTTAATAATCTAATGCCATCTGTATGCATTTATAGATATTCATTATTCTAAGATTATACCATATAATCCGAAATAACATTTTCCATTCTTTTCTTGATGCATAAAAAAAGAACAAATTGCATTATATATAGTATAGTGCGTAGTTTTAACATTTTAAAACTAATTTGTTATAATGTCAAACTCTAAAGTTGTTGTTTATTGCAGTACACTCTCCTGACTGAGATCAGAGAGTTTATGCTTCCAGAAGATCGGCCAAGATTCGACGAACTGGTATATAGACGCGGAGAAGAACCCGTCGATCATCACCTCAAGGTATTTTATACATTAGTCAACATTTTAGGTTTAATAAAATATCTCAGTGGTTTAGATGGAAAGTATTTTTTTAGCAAAAAGTAGACAGTGAAAAAGTTTTTTAGGCGTGTTCATTAGGAAAGGTTCTATTTTGTAATCTGGTAATCTGTGCCTCACCTGGTCCGACTAATTAGAATTTTCCGCTACGTTTGCGCTCCAGAGAGACTAACTAAATAAAACTCAATTTAATTGTACAGGCTCGTCGATTATTTACATTGTATATTTAGTATAAATTTACGTAATTTTTAAGTTACGGGATTTATTTGTACTGCCTAACAATTTATTTATGAATCATATAAAAACAATACACAATATTAAAGAAAAAATAAATGCTATATGTTCTTACGTAATTACTACAAGACTCGTTATTTCAATATACCTACCCATTTAAATTATTTTTGATATTTAATCAAATTGAAGTATAATTTACATCCACCGAATATAACAATGAAACATTGATATAGTAATACATATACAGAAAAATAGTATGAGAAATAATGTAGATAGTAATGTATAAATAATAGTAATTTAGTATAATCTAAATATACGAGTATGTATTAAGATTTATCTAAATTTAGATAACATATTTTATATGGATTTAAGGAAATATTTTGTTAAGTAATGATTATATATCGAAATTTTTTAATCTAATAATTAAAAATATACTATTATTGTGTTACTTTCATTAGCTAAAAATAGGATAACATTTTTACCATAATTACCCATAGTAAATAAATATTATATTAGTTGACTATTCAAATCTTAAACAAAAAGTTTGTATTAAAAACCGAAATATAATTCTCTACAGTTAATACACTATTAATGAATATGCATAGTTTTGCAGAACCTTAATTAAATCCCCTAAATTACTCTAAATATAAAGTAATAATAACAGTCGGTCAGCTCTATATCTATACGTAGGTTTAAATCACATTAACACGAATGAACAATTTATGGCATGAAAATTCAATTACGTAATAGCATTTTGAAGTAACCTTTAGCTCACCACGTAGTCCGTAAGCACATTGTACTGTGAATTAGTGTACATAAATAGTTCCGTATATAATTTCTTCATAGCGTGGGAGCGAACGGCATATGCTGCCCTCCTCGACGATGCATGAGTTGCACGACCCGGTAAGTGCACCATTTTCTATCACAGTCTGTGCTGTTGCATGCTATATTGGTGTTTTAGTCACCCTTAGCTTTAAATGGTAGTACTTTGTGCTTATTGAACGTAAAGAGATATCGTGTAAATTAATTTGGTCTTACGACACATGAAAGTAAAAAGGTTTCATGCTAAAATAATAATCTAGGGACTTCGTGAAACTTAAATCGTGAAAAATGTGAGCTCTCGTTTTAAAACTACGTTTACTTCATTTATATTTTATTAAATTTGATCGTGATATTTAATACAGTATCCATATTACACTTACATTATAATCTACTTTATTTTTATAACCGTCATGGGGTACATTGTTATCTTGATAAAGAATAAATTCTGATAACAATGTACCCCATTGTTATCAGAATTTATTCTTTATCAAGACAATTATAATGATGATTTACTTCATCAATAGCTATCTATATATCTAAATATTACAGATAATAATACAAAAAATATATAGGGCCATAAAAAATAACACAAATGGGAGATTGATTAACTTACCCAGATCTGCAAATTCAATTTCAAAATATGATAAGGCGATCGGGTGAGGTTGCGGGTTATTGTTGTAGGAGGTGCCGGCGGAGGTACCTCTTGTGGCCGATCATCGCTCGCCCTCTGAAGACTCCGGTTTGGGCCTGCCACCGCACGACCACGCTTACAGGTGACTAATATCACCAATTCATATATCCCTGAAACACAGCTCGCACTTAGTGGACCAAAACAAAAAAAAACATTGAATTTTACTACGTGAAAATTCAGTTTAAAGGATTGCTGTCAAGTGAAGACATCGTCAGAGCTCCGGAGGTAGAAACTTGCCACTCTTGAGCAAAGCGTAAATCCCTCACGACTGTGGTGCCCTTCAAAGGTGCTTAAACGTTAAAGAACTCTTAAATTGTAAAAGCAAAGCCGAGTCCTCGTCAAGCATTCGCTTTCGTTAGCTCTTTCATATCTCACAGAGAAAATAATCCACATTTTTCTACAGGCCCCTGTCTTAGCACCCGCTACGCTCTTGAGATCCGGCCGAGTCATTGGCCTGCGGCCAACACTTCCACTTTTATTCCGTATCGAAATCGATTGCTTTACGACGGTATAAACGTTCACATTTACTGTCGCCACCCCCCAGTATAATGTTACTGTCATGCTTCCGTAAGAAGTATTCTAAACTTATTTATTACCTATAAAGTATTTGTTCTAATCGATCAATAATAATTTGTAACTGGTTTAATTTCAATAATAAAATACCAATTCCCTCATTCACTTTTGCGCTCTAAATTTATAGCAAAATTAGTTAAACCATATAGTACTAAATGTTACATATATAGATCAAATTCATAGCCAAATTGGGGAAACCAATTCGATATAAGCAATATCATAATAGTTCTATCAACCACCCATAGTAGGTGCGGAAAAATAAGTTACCAAAGAGATAATAATAATATTTGGAATGTGTAATGTTTGTAGCTGTGTGGACCGTGAATGCATAGTGATGCTGAAGTGTTGAGACTGTTGATAGTGACGGTGGTGTTGTGTGGGACAGGAGCGGGCGCGCGTGGCGGGCGACGGCCGACGCGCCCCAGCCTGATGACGACCTGGAGCCACCGCACGAGGTGATTTTGCCAGAATTACCGTCTACACTTTCAATATTCTATCGACCACATTCACTTCTCTACGCCTTGTCTATAGCGGTGTCCTGGGTGTCACTCGCATACTCATCTGTAAAATCATACACAACTTCTTAGTATTTCGGATCTGTGCTAACAAATAGCATTTAGATCTGGCTAGATTTTGTTTTAAAACTGTATCTTCTGCAGGAACGCACGGATGTTAACGTGTGCGCCTTTCGTGTCTTCTTTCTTGTTCTTTCTGCACACGATCACTGATCAATACGTGCCTACTGTTTTTTCCTAAGGCTGTATATTAAATAGCTTATAGCTGGAGTGGCACCTCGGCACTACCACTAAGTATGTACCACACGTTGACGTTTCTTGCATGAGTTGATAACGGCTAGAGTAGAACTCTCACCATCACGTTTATGGCCGTTATTTCCTATGATAACACTCAAGGGGTAAATCTGGCAAAATTGAACGTTACATACGTCTCGGAAGTGGTCGGCGGGTGTTATTGGCATTTAAAACGTAATTTATACATTATAATTTATCGGTAATAGCGGCCAATTTATAATACTCTTTTCAGTCTATTAGATTAGTATAGATACAAGTAGTTATGCTCTCAACTCTATGACAACATTTCATTTCTGCGACTGCCTTTGAAAATGCTTTGTATATTTCTAAAAAACTTAACTAAATCTATATTTGTTTTTATTCGTATATTATACTTATTATTACAATTATATAGTAAATAATTTCCAATGACTGAATATATATTTTTAATTATTACAAATTATTTAATTCTATCGTATATGGTATTAATAATTATTATATTAATTAAATAATAATTATATATTATATTCATTTTATTTCTTAAAAGCTATAGTTACACCGCAAGTATGTTTCAGTTAAAGTATTTAATATTTTGAATTATGTTACGGCTGATAATATAGTTTTATGGAACTACTCTATCAAAGTAATGAAACATGCATATGATTCGCATAATAATGACGTCATTGATAACATGATGAGCCAGTACGTTTATTTAGATCGTTATTTTAACAATTGATGTCGCCGGCTCGTTGGTCTAGGGGTATGATTCTCGCTTCGGGTGCGAGAGGTCCCGGGTTCAAATCCCGGACGAGCCCTATATACATTTACTTTTTGTCTTCGATACTAACATATAAATATAAGATTTTATTATACAACAATTATTAAATTGAGTTCATCATATCCAAAGAAAAGATATAAACAATAGTTAATTAATAAAAAATAAATAGATTGCAGTAAATGAGAAAGGGTAGATTTGCGGGCTCTAAGATGTAGATTTTGATTACACATAAAAATTTGCATTTCTCTATATGCACTTTGAACTTAAATATTTTGCGAACTTAGCTACTAAAGTATAACACTTTTTATTTTGCTAAAGTAAAAAAATATAAATAATAATAATAAATAAATAAAATAAAACACCTAAGATATAGTTAAGGGAATCAGATGTTGAACGAAAACTTGATGATGATGATTATGCAACGTACGACAAATAAAAACAAGGATTGTTTTTCTAGACAATATAACCAAACCAAAACAAGGTTGACTGGTAAAAAATACTGTATGCTGTTTAGACTGCCAAAGGTACTTTTGCTTTTTGGACACTGTGCATTAATGTTATCTAAATAAATGAATAATCAATTAAAAATTAGAATCTTGTCTATTCCTAGATTATTTTGTACAATCATGTAGCTTGCTATATAAATGTAGCGGCAAACAATTATTACAGGGAATTTATCCCCACAAGTTAGAATCTAAGTGGTCTCGGACAGTGCGGTTTCTGACGAGCTTTCTCCCGCGTATACTTAAATTGTGGAATGAACTACCTGTTGAGGTTTTCTTGGGGTTTTTCAAGAAAGGTATATTAAGGTTTTTTAACGGTCGGCAACGCGTATGTGGCACCGCTGATGTCTCGGGAGTCTCCATCAGTCAGATGGGTCGTAGACTTGTTTGTAGCCATCGTAGTATAAAGAAAACAATTATACGGGTAAATATGGTTACCAAATGTTGTTCTATTGTAAGATAAGATTTAGATTAGATACGATGTATCTAATTTCAAGACAAACAGTGATTTTTGTTATAAAATGAGTGTAGTTGGCATATTAGATACGAACTATATAAATTAAGTGTCATATATCTTCAAGACTGTTATTTGAATTGGGGTAAACACGAATAGTGAAAGATAAAAATAATATCAGATTGGTGGTCTATACTATGTTTTTTTATATATATTTAGAATATCAAAGACTGTCGAAAGCTAACGGCCTATATGATGGCAAGTAGTTACTGTTGCCTGTACGCCTGAATAGCCCTATGGACGTAATGTGATGTGCGCCATTTTGAACACTAAGAATAAAAAAAAATGTTTATATATTCTGTAGCGGCTAGCTAGTATTCTTAAAAAATTTAATTTATACTACTTTGTTCTTTCACTTGTTCTATTACTTATTCTCTAGATCGCTCGGAGGTAATTTAAATATAAAAAACGGAAATGAAACGGCTTAAATAACAAAACAGTTCTCGTTAAATTTTGTACTCTGTTTGTTGAGTCTACTTTAAGTGTAATTAAAATATATTCATATTTTAGTTAGCTACAGAACAATATTTAGGTACATTTTTGTTATAAGCTAGGTGTCTGTTCCGGCATCGCATACATATATATACTAATGTTGAAAATAGACCAAATCTTCTATTTCCCGCTAAATAATCTCGACTATAATTATTAAAAACAGGACACGAATCTGTCAATTATATATATGTTTTATCACTGTAATCGAGCGTAGCTGTACTACGGTGGGCGGCATATACGTAGCACTTCCTTTCTCTTCTCATAGCATTATCGTAGCTTATCTTAATTTGCTCACACAGGGCGCTAGATTAATTATCATTTAAAATTAATTAACTTGTCTTTTATACATTGTGTATGGTTTCAGAAATGTTTTATAAATAACTATTATTAAAGAGATTCAAAAGGCTCGAGCAGTCTTTTTGACAAACTTTAGAGTCGAGCATTTATATTTTTTAATTATTAATATTAGGATCGCTGTTATCTCATTTATAAAAAAATATGACCTATGAACTTAAAGATACACTTTTAGTTAGATAATATTTTTTATAAAAAATGTAGAGTCAACGATCATTTACTAAGCATATTTTTTGATGTATCTATCTATTATACATATGTATATTTCTATATATTAAGTATGCAGCTCTCTAGGATGTCGTGTAGTGATTTGGGGTAGTATCGATAGACTACAAAATGTACGCTACAACCACTACTGTCCGTTCTACTTCTACGTAGCGTCCGTTAGTGCGCGCCGCGCCGGCCGGTCGACATGACGTCGCACCGGCGGCGTCGCGTTGCTTTTCGCGACTACGTACCTATGGACGTGCGTGCCATGGCCAAGGTATCAAAAACAAAATTACATTTAACATAAAAACGAAATTTATACATTATTAATAGTAGTCAAACGTGATGTAACAATTCATTATTCAAATGAAGTAGTTCTCGTGGCTAATATAAAGTAAATTAAATATATCTTTTCGAATTTGAAAATAATTTATTAATGTAGGATATTTTAGTTACTTATGCGAGTCAAGAAGAACTGGGAAGAAAGTCAACTGATGCTCTTTTTATTGCTTTCTGCAGCAACAACAAAAATATTCCCCTCCGATCGATCCCCCGTCCAATTCAAACGGGGATCGAAATTACGACGGCCTGAGCCGAGGTTTGAACCCCTAGTGGTGCCCTCAGACTAAAGTCGTATCCGTCAGGCAGGAGTTGGCCTTCAGCCGCTCCATAAGTCCTTCCGCGGGTTTGGAGTGCCATCTGCACTCGCCTCTAACGTCCGGTGAAGCTGTAAAGGCCAGCTACGGCCAACAGCATTAGAGTAGTCCGAATAAAACAAAAATATTCTCTCCAAGAACAAATTTGTGTGAATCTGAGTTACAAATTGAAATCCTTTATGGATATATTATATCTATCATTTGATTGACACATGTATATCTGTATGTTTACTGATAAACCGGAATACTGATACATACCATACTTAACTACTTCATCGTCTCACAGCTCTAGAACTAATATGTAGTTTAGTATTGTATCCTATTTCGAGTTTTCCATACTATCGTCAGTTGTGCTTCCTTAGTCTTTTTTTAAATTCTGTGTTGAAACTGTATCTCTACGAGCATATATTAATAACTTATGTTTATTTGTAATAACTACACGTATATCAATCATTTCGTGTTTTTTTGCGGTATGTTTTGTTAGCTTTGGATATACTATACTAATAATAAAGTTATTATAGATATTGTTAAATATACAATTCCTAAAGGAAAGGTTCGATGTACCGGTATATATTTACCCGAAACAGGTAAATTCTTGATTACTGTCATAGTTTGACTTTTGAGAGATTTTTATTATATTCATTTGAATAATCATAGTGCAGCACTTTAACCACATGGTGAGAAAGTAATAAATGGCTTACGATTTCATAGTAAATATTACTAACCTCTGAAAGTTTATAATACCAAGAGTGTCACATAGAGTGTTAAAGACTGTAAACTTTTTTAAGGGAGATAATTCTTAACAAACTAACTTTGTTTTGATATTTTAAGACTACATTCTGTAGATTCTTGGGAAAACCACGAAAGCTAAGTTCTAAGTACAACTTAAGTGGTTACAAAAGAAATTAATTTATAAATAATATAGATTTTACAGAAGTTATTACTTTTCATCACAAAGCCCGATTCTTTGTTCTTTTTAATTATTATGTAGGTACACATTTATTTTGTATAATAAGTTAAACAAACATTGGTTATTTTTGAGTTGATAAACAAGAGTTTTATTTTAAATAGGTTTTTAATTAGTCTATAGACTTTATCATAGTACATACATTCGGCCTTCCAAATTAAAGAATTGTATATCTAGCGCCTGCTTACATACTAACCGCAAAAGCGAGTCGATGACTTGTTTATGTAATTTGCAAAATGAGATTTTATTATTTCTATTTATAGGTTGTAATTACCCAAATATAATAATAATAATAATAATAATAATAATGTATTTATTATCAGGCTTAATTACCCACTTTGTTAGTATTACAGATTTTCTTATAATTAATATAAATCAATGTCACGTGCCGTTATTGACTAGGTATAAACATAATATTGTTTGAGGTTTTAGTTTATTGTGAATAAACAAAGCTCCCCTCCGCGACAGAGCTTAATGCGCCACATTTACATAGACATACCATACCACTGTATGCATATTTAGACATTAAGTAGTACAATATTAAATCTCAATAATAGTGAAATATGTTGTTGGTACTTTGCTTTATACTATTTATTTATATAATAAATTGCGTGTATATTTTTAAGCATTGTTCTTAGTCGTGTGGTTGTTAATCATTAGTTAAGAAGATTTAATATATTTAATATATATATATATATATATATATATATATATATAATATCATTAGAAAGCCAAATTTCTAAAAGAATTCTTTTATGTAATATAGCATTTGATGCGTCGGATTTCATTATCTTAATTCTTAATATCTCTCATCTTAAGCAACCAAAATTATGGTATATTTTGATTGCTATAGCAACATTCTTCTTATTAGATATGTTATAATATGTACTCATATATTAGGCACCGATTAGAAAATCATTCCAAAATAACTATAAAGTATATTTGACAATAAGATATTGATAAGAGACATTGACAATAAATCATCCAAAGAGTTTATGATTGATTGTCGTTTTGTCTCCATCATTTCGCCTTCAACTCTCATATTTATTTCGGTTTGTTCTTATATACTTTGTGCATTACAATATTTTCCAATATTTGCTAAATAAATAAAGATATAATATCTTAAAGGATGGTTAAAGGTTTTAATAAACACCAAAACTCTAAACACGGACTTTTGTACTGATGTCTTTAATATTCAGTACTCCTAAATCTCAAACAAGAATCTGAAAAAATAACAAATCGTTAAACATAATATATTTAACAATTTTGAATTAATTTGTATTGAGATAAAATAAACGCTTAATAAATACCTACAAGTGAACAAAAAACTGATAAATCATTTCAATTGTTTCAATATGTATATACATATGTAGCTAGTATTATGTAATATTAAGTTGTCTGTAGTGTAGGTATTAATTACTTTAACTATAACAGAAATAAGTATACTCAATAATCGGGGATATTTTAATAATCCTCCGTTATCTAAGAAACATATATACGAAAAAAATATATTTTTTTAAATTCTTGTATCGTAGAAATGTATATTACTAAACTGACACTGTACTGGTTTGTACCTGTCACGAACAAATCTATTTTCCACCACAATATTCAAATACTCGTTTTATATAGTTATATATTTTACATATTAGGTACATGCTATTCGTAAATATAACGGTAGAATTTGTAATTATATTTCTTTTTTACTTTCGGAATATATTTTTGGTAAATGTATATTTATTATATGTAATTCCAATTCTAAATCAAATCAAAGCGATTTATTCATGTACATTTTAGACGCTTGTGAACGTCAAATTTTTTACATAAAATATTTGTCTCCCTACTTTTTATTGATTTTATCTTTACATTTAGTAATTATTTTACCTAAATAGAGAAACTTAGCTGTCTGACAAACCTTTTTTAATATTTTCTAATAAGATATTACATATTACATATTACATATATTAGATATTACATACAGATATACATGAACTAGCTTCGTTTTTCGAAAAGTTCGTAAACATTAGCCTTAGACTTATGAATTTTTTATGTAGTAAATAAAAAATGCATGTATATTAAAAATTTAGCATATTTACCTATTATCATTAATTACTGGGGAACTATTGGGATACCTATATAATTCCCTATGTTCTGCTTCAAAGAGCATTAAAAAATCTGCTTACCAATAGAATTCTCTACATTACTCGTAAGTGCGTATATATACAAGACTTAATGGACCAATACATTTTCGTCAGCGAGATATACAAAGCAAATCCTGTTATGATAAATCGCCAAAAGGCCTTGGCAAAAGTGCGGAACACAAGAAAGATAATGAAAGTAAACCAAATAGACTGCAAAGAGAGCACGGAGTTTGGATAAAAAGATGGAACAATAAATAAATTTTAATGTGATTCACGTAAAGCGCGGACGGGGCAATCAATCTTCTTAAACCATCTGTTTAGTTAAAATACATGGTTTGTGAGGTAGCTTCATCTTTTCATGGATCGTTTTACATCACGTTTATGTGTCTGCAATAATTACCTGAGAGTTATTTTACAATTCCTGTAACTAATTACTTGAGTGATGTGGTCGGCTACATTAGTTTGCTGAAATTTTGCCTAGTATCGGGTACTTTATTTCTTCTAGAGACATTCTCATTTCGGTAGAGATCCCACGAAAATTCCGATACTTACGATACTTTTGTTCCAAAATTATCTAATCTAATTCATTTATTGTAGTGAATATTATTTCCATATACATATGTAGTTTGAAATGGTACTTTAACTACATATATTTTTATAACTAACTTGCGTCTTGCAATATTTTCTACTAACCAAGGTCATGCTCTTATTCAGGCATTTCTCGTGGATTTTATACATTCGCGTGACCATGTTTAGTATTATATATTATGTACCTAATATAGGCAAAAGAAGGTGGTTATTGGCGATAACTTTATTATGTAGAGGTATTTCAAAGTTTAACACGCAACCATCCACAAGATTTAAACAGCCGGTGCTAAGTATACACCTGCTTCGGGCTTTTAACTTTTTATTTATTTAGCGCTCGGACCAAGTAAACATACCTTTTTACGTTTACCTTTTAAGCTTCTCACTACTTAGTTCACAACGGTAACCATTTTGTTTTTAACGTAATTATACAAATATAAAAACTCGCTGACATAAAAATGGTAAGCGTAGGTTTAATGTAAGATTTATTGCGTTTGTTGTCCAAGAAATTACCATAACTTCAACTTCGCAACGGATCTAGGAAGTTGCTTAGAAATTTATACGTAGTAAAAAGGAAGGGCTCCTGTTGAGTCAAAAACTAGTTGGCCAAGCTGAAAGATTGACTGAGATTACGAGTAAAGTCGATATCAATAATTGAGTTTATTCGTACCTATGTGAAAAAAAAAACTGTGTCGCTCTGGGAACGTCGAAACTGTGCCAACATGCAAAAATAACACGGAAAATCAATTGCATTGCCGAGACTGCTGGTCACCCTACTTACAGCAGTCTGATCGCGAATCTACACTACTTCACACTACAGCAGTTACTTAATCCCTTCAGTCTAATATTACAATATAAGTGTCTAATTTTGCTTCTGTATTCACTATTTAAATATAAAGCGTATGTTCTGTGCTTGATCTTTAAAACGATGTTAGAATACACAAGTGTTGTACAAGACTTTCAACTGTATTGAAAATCTTCACTGTTTGCTTTCCATGTAGTATGTACTATAAAAGTTGTCTATAACAGCTTATAGTAGCTTGCGTGTAATATGTTGAGCATGTTTGGTGTGTTCTTATTAGTAATTATAGTATGTTTAATACAATTCTTATTCTCCAAATAGTTAAATTATTACATTATTTTATACAGTTTATAATATCTTCAATATTAGAACTGCAGTCAATTACAAAACTTACTGATTTAAAAAGTAACAACTTATTTCAAAATTATACAATCGTTGTTACAGTATATTTAGATATTTTTGAACTAATGAGTAGTAAATGTGCGTGCAGGAGTACGAGGAGGAAGGAAGGCGCTCTCGCCGGCACTCCTCACCCTGCAACTCTAGAGAGGGCAGCACCACTGCGCTTCACACGCAGCACTACGACGACGCTGTGAGTACAGTAATATATATAGTACTCAATTAATATTCTAATTATAATTAACATGGAACAAGCATTGAAGTAAACCCTTAAAAAAAAATCATCAGTTAACAATAAACACGTATACAAACATAGTCACTATATAACTTTTGACTCAATTTCCATGTTCGGTGTTAAGGGTGATTGAAAAGAAATTTCCCAAAATACTACAGCATAAAGCTCTCCAATAGCTATTAAGAAGTAGATTCAGGGTCAGTAAGTCTAAAATATACGCTTGGTTTTGTGGTAGGTATATAGGCTATAATAACTGTATCCAGCATTCTAACCGTATGCTTCAGTGCCTTGATATATCATAGATGTGATTATGATGTAGATTCGATTTTTATTTGTAATGCTTAAACTCAATATATACTAAACCGATTTAAAAAGTATCACCTATTATATTTAATTATTAGTGAGAAACACCGGCTATTTTTTATTTAAAAAATATTAATAATAATAATAAAAAATAAATTGAAGATCAATTACAATTATTACGTACATGCGAACCCGGAGCAAGTCGTTAATAAAAAAACTTTGAAACACTAACAAATAGTCAATCACTAAGTTGAAGTTGAGAGTATGTACCATAATCTACTTATATACGTAAGAATACGGTTGCGAATTTTCGTGCTCTTTATTACATTTATGGATTATGATGGACATGACGTCTTAAACATACGTAACTTATTACATTAAGAAATATATAAGAATATATGAATCTTCGTAATGTGTATTGTCTGGGGCAACCCTTGTCGTCATTTCCCGCCGAAACTCATTTGTATCTGTAGATTTTGGCGCCATGCCAACCTTTGACACAGCAATTCCTATCTCACTGCTGCATCAAAACGCTATGCTTAACAAATATACTTTTACTTCGTTAGTTGTTAAGATTTACAAATTTTAGTTTATTTAGTATATATGTATATTTGTAGTAACATTAATTATTAATAGCATATTAGTAATATAGTATTAATAGCAATATTAAGTAATTCTGAATAAACATTCTTATGACTGAATGTCAGCACTTTATTGGATAGTCAGCATCTCATACCGAGTAATGTAATATATGTGTATGTTTATTTTATGGTGAATTAATACTAACTAAATAGATACAAATTATTTAGTTGTAAGTAATAGGTACTATATAGGGTATTCCGTTTCCTTAATTACTTCAAAAAACCTGTATTATTTACTTATGTTATAATCAATGTCATGGTGTAACTGTATATGAAATATTATTGAATTGTGTTCATTCATTTTAAAGATAATTGAGTGGTAATCATCCTAACATATTTATAGTCTTTTAGAATTATAATATATGAAAGAGCTAAGGTAATTATATTATTTTCAGGCCATGAAAAGCCAACTTCAAGCATATTGCTAATGATAACTGATAACCTATTGGACAGATCTTGATCAAATTTATATGAACCCTCGTATGGTTTCATAGCATTTAACAACGATTTAGAAAAGTTATGAGCTCAGATCCAAAAAATTTCAGTCGAATTGAGAACCTTCTCCTTTTTAAAAACTTGGTGAAAATGGGAATAATCATGACGTATGTACATATTTATCAAAATTATAGTATTGGATTGATTTTGTATTGCTGTATTCATGTCTCAACGTTTGATCTTTTTAAAACTTATATCTAGCCTAACAAAACACTTTTAACATTTTTAGAAATAATTTTAAGAGGTTTTGATTAAGAATAAACTAAAATGAACTGAACTCTAGTCCTTTTTTCTTAGGAACCTATTAACGACAAGAATATGTTTATGATTTGTAATTATGGATCTTAATGAAATGTAAAAGAAAGAGTATGTTAATATGTAACATTTTAATTATTACTAAGATGTATTTAATACATTTACAGATATTCTAATCTAAAGCTACACATATATAAATTAATGATATCAGTCTAATACACATACAATATTAGCAACAAAAATAAGAAATATTTTACATTATTACACTTGCGAATATATCCATTCAATATAGAAATGTTCATTACTTTATTCTGTTCATAGTAGTAGTAAAATTAAAGTTTCTAAAACGGTTTAGTAAAAGTACATTTACGAAGAAAATAAAATTGATTTCCAATAAAACGTTGCTACTTAATGTTTTTAAAAATTATACATATCCTATTATAGCACCAGTTAACTGATTTTAAAATAAATCTCTGTACTTTAGGAAACGAGATGAATATGTAGGTGCACACTTAATTTTGGATAAATGCGCGCAGTCAAGTAAAAGGATGTCTCTAAGTGTAGTGTTTATAAAAATATAGTTGCAGTTACAAAATATACGAAATACTTGTACGAAGCTGTACAGGCGGTGTGTTCGAGATCATTTCAATAGGTACCAAATATTTCTCAATATACTTGATGTATTTATCCAGTCCTCTTTTCAATTTTTATCCAGTATTATAGACCAGAATTTATTTTGTAGGTACATAAAGAGTCAAGGTTATTAAGGCTAACAGCAAAAATCATTAAAATTCTCTTATACTTATAGGTCCTATACAAGTAGGTTATTTCTTAAGTTCATGTTATCATATCATGTTATCGACAACACTTTTATTATTTTCTTTATATTACTATCAATACCAATATCCAATAATATGATGTATATATACTTATTTATTTCTATAATATAATATCTAGAAATAAGATGAGAAGTTGTGTATTGATCGTTACATTTTTTTGTTAATGCACATGACAATGTTTTAAAAATTTATATTTCTACCATATGCTGTTTTCTGGTTAACTTAAAAAAGTATTATTATATTAAAGGACTACTTGAGCATTTCTATTTAATTTCATTCGTATTGTGTTGTAGATAATCTAAACCAGAGTTTCCCTAAAATTGTGCAAACAATATTTAACAATTTTATACATGTGTAAGTGTGTCCCTAATATCCAATATCCTAATATATTTTGCAAATCATGGTCATTTGTTTTGAACAAGGTCTCGCAAATCGCTTACGTAATCGCCTAATAGGCCAGGCATGGGGTTCATTAATCTATCAACTACGTTAAAGCTAGGTATATTAAACCTATTTCCTTAGAAGATACGTCATAGTTTCTCTTGCAGCGTCCGACGAAGTTCTTCAGTGGCCTTTGCTAAGTCTTTATTATTATGGAGACGCTGTTTGCCTCCCAAATCTCCTCCACATTCCTCCAAATAGTCTTTAGGTGGCTCAGCTGGATATTTACTTCCAAATTTAGGTCGAGGAATTCGTACGCGTTTTACATCACCCAACCAACTCTCCATATTGATAAGGTTACGTCTGGACACCTGAAAAAAAGATAAATTGACTGGTTTTTATTCAAAAAACTAGCGCTTTCATAACTTATTTTTATTTTATGTTGTAAAAACACGATATCGTTATGTCTTACGAAAAAGATTACATGGGATAAATTCTGTTTACTATTATTAATTTTACTGGTAAATAAGATTACTTAATTATAATTTCTACGCAAGTCCTACTTTCACGGAAGCTAACAGCTGACACTATGTTATTATAGCAGATTGTATCGTATCTTAACAAGGTAAAAAAGTTGTAACACGCACTGGTTCTTTTAAATGTTAGCCAATAATTGTGCAAGCGCCAACGATGGTCACTGGAGAATGGTGAAACCTCGATATTGCAAGCAGTAAATAGGTACGATTTTATCTGGTTCCTCTCTGGTAGAGCAGAGCATACGACGTGGGCCGTGGTAGTCAATGTCAAACAACTGCACATAAATGGTCAAATAATATACGGAACGATGATCCGTGAACTTCGTATTAATATTATAAATGCGAAAGTAAGTTTGACTCTTTGTTTACCTTTCACGACTAGACAGATCATAATAAAACTAGAAGATATAATGTATCAGGAGAATAGACAAATGTTCTTTTATCTCAAAACAGCAATTAAAATTTTCGCAACTTAAAGACTAATAATTCTAAATACAAAACTTGTCTCTTTAAACTACTTCAAAAGAATAAATATATTTCTAGGCTGAAATAAATAATTTAAAATGTTATATAAATAGTTATGTAACATTTTAAATTATTTATTTTCTGTGAATTTATGAATTTGTTACCGATTTCGGTGATTTTAATCGAAAATATATGAATCCGTGTCCATCAAACTTTGCTAATAAATATTGAAGTCTTGTAATTGGGACTTAATTTGTATATTTTGTCAAGGATAGTCGGATAAAAAAACCGCTTCGCTTCTTTAATTGCTTGAACTTTTAAAATCAAGTTTTGTAAATAGCATGACGTTACTAAAATTAAACTAATTGTGGGTCTTCATATAATAGAAATAAGTAAATAATACAGGTACAACATGTAAAAAAGTTTTAGTGTTACATTGTAATTTTTTCCTGAATCCTTTTAATTTGCAACTACGATAAGTTTTTCCCTAATGTTACTTCGACCTTTTGGTATGTAGCGTGTGAATTTTAATAAGCTCGATATTTTTTCTATGTCATGTTACAATAACATTAAGCCCTGAAACTGTGTATTCACATATTTAAAACTAGCTCATGGGCCTTTATTAAAGAAATTTAGTTTATACTGTTGTGGCGCCTCTTAAACAATTTTGGCCTTGTTTTTATAATTTTCTTTTAATATGTAAGGTATGGTTAATACCTTGAGTTAAGAATATATGTATTTATTTAGAAATTTGTAAACTATTTGTTCTTTTTTAATTAACTATATATAGTAAAACATACTTTCAACCTCTTATATCTACCTAAGTACGAAATAGAAATACGTGATTAATTATAATATTCTAGGCATAAAATCATTAATGATTAATTATCAATAAGTGTGTAGGTACGCGTATCTTCGACAATAACTTATCTGCTGTTAGTAAGACAAAGAGTTTTAATGGACGAATGGCTTTCTCTAGTGAAAGTGTGTCTAAGTCAGTGGCGTTACTCTGTTTGACGCTTTCGAACCTCACTGTTATCTTA